GAAAACATTGCCCTAATGTTTTTCCTGTGGGTAGCAACCTTAAGGAGGCAGCCTTCGCTGAGCAACTCATATGATTTAATTTTTGTTCGCGCGAGGTTGCAGGTTTTGTATGAATTGTTTCTTAATAAATTCGAAGAGCAGAAATAACTTGCACTTCACACTCCTTAACCTTACTTTTCCTAGTATGATTCCTGTACACCTGTCAGGATATTATATTCATTGGCCTAACCTTGCTTTGCTTTTCGTGAGGAGCTTCTTGATATTTTCAAATTTATTTCGGTCCTCTGACCTTAGGACACTATATAGGCTGGCACACTATTGAAGCTTCAGGTGAATACCTGTCTTATATATAGCTAATCTTGCTTTTTGAGTGTAAAACTTAGACAGCACGAATTGAGTAAACCGTTTGCAGCCAGATACTACCTTGTTTTCATCATCGGAAAAGTTTAAATCTGAGTATGTTGTGCCCAAGATCTGTGACTGTGTTCAGGTTTTACGGGATGTACATGTATGGACACATGCTTGGTGACCAGCACCTAAAGTAGGCTATACTTCAATCTTCGGCCACTATTTTTTCGCTCCAGCCTCCTAGAGTGCTTGAGTCTTGTTGGATTTATTTTTCAGCCATCATGTAGTCGTGCCTGAAATCATGCACTATCTTGAGATCATCAGAGAAGAGCTATGGCTTGTCATACTTGATCACTGAGACTATGTCATGTATAAATAAAAGGAATAGAAAAGGGTCGGAAACGTTTACTTGTTTTATCCCGCTGGTCTTTGGCTTAGGTGCAGATAAGTGGTAGCTGATTTTGAACAACTGTCCCCTTTCTGTGAGAAGAGAACTTACCTACTTGAGAAGCTTTCCAGCTATTCCGTAGGACTGGAGTTTCACTCTGATATCTGTAGCTTTTCAAAGGCTTTTCTAACGTCGAAAAATAATACTGACATGGAGTGCGCACTATCTGTGAATTTCGTATTATGGCCAAAATAATCTAAGTGGCAAGTAATGAGGGATCTTCTAAATAAGAAGCCATATTTGAGTGGGAGCAGTAGGTCATTAGGAAGCAAATAAATCGTAAATTAAACGGCCCCTTGGATGCCACTCTCTAATCTTTCCTTCATTAAAATACGTGCCTGAGAGGTTATCACAAACCTTTCTGAAAGAGTCAAGCAAGTTGATTCTGAGATTCTGTCTTTCTTATAGAGACGTCAACGTCTGAATCCTATCAATGTAGTTAATGGTATCCACCCCTTCGTGTAACACTTTCAGGGAAACGCTGGATTTTTTAGGGGTTATATAATGCAGAAGTTATGACAGGCCACTAAAACTGTCCTATTTTCCTAAGTGTCGAGCACTAGGTTCATGCATTGAAAATTGAATCCACACAATCTGAGTAACTTTTGAGTGCGCAAAATACAAATGGTGTGTTACGTGAGTTTATTCAGTGTGGTGTTATGATATTCCGTACACAACCGGTTTAAAGCTGGACAAATCCTCATGTATATAAAACTCTTATCCAATAATTAAAAGTTATGCCTGGCCACTCTGTTAGCATAGAATAATTCCTGTTTTTTCATAGTCATGAGATAGCACATTTATCACATTATTTATTGGGCTGCATGCACCTCATTAATATAAGGCATTATAACGCTTTATACCCCAATGGATGTTGGGTGTGCACTAGAGTTTTGCTATATCTTTTGTAACAGGAGTTTAATCTGTGTGTTATAGAAAATACCGGTTATCAACTTCGATGCAAATGGATACTGAAACATCCTCTAGTTACGCAACAGTTATCATGTGATTGAGGTCAGTAACTTTGTGGCTTTCTAATAGATCACTTCGTTCTGTACCTACAATTTTATTCGTCATCTACGAAAAGAGGTTTTCCGCAGTTAAAAATTGATGCCATATGGCATTAACTTGTATAAGTCGAAAGTAGAATAGGGACTAGAAAACACACTTAACTTTGAACCTGAAAACTTATTCGGCTGGAATTTAAAGCATTATACTGTTGATTTGCACGAGAAATGGGTTCGAAGTCGGGTTAATGTTAGCATTAGAGTGGTGTGTCAAGTTAGTTTTCGGAATTGAATTATGGATCATCAGGGTTAATTTCGGTCTACAATTATGAATCCCTATTTCTTAACTTCGCTGAAAATTATCTACCATAACAAATGCTACCATCTGCTTTGTTGAACTTCTCAAGACAGAAACTACAAAGATTGAGGCAGGCTGCTTGTCAAACTCCGTATTGCTGAAAACTAGTGTCCGATCATAGTTGTAGAACTTAATGAAACAGTGGATAATTGTAATCAGAATGGCAGTACAGGAGATAAAAATTCAACCTGAGAGACATCGTTAAAGTGACTAATTTCGGGCACTCAGCTCATTATTCGCTTTAGTTGAGCAACGTGAATGTTGTGCATGGCATTCGATATCCAATTATCTCACTTAGTTGGAACTAATTTAGGCGGAATACATTTTTAATGGATTAGGTTTCAGGCCACATATCTCATATGACCTAGTTGCTAAGACTGAATTCGGTATTATGGAACCCCATTCTGGGCCCTGTTGGCTGCAAGCTGAGTGCTAAAGTTAGTGAGTCACATCTCAACTGTTCAGTCATCACCTTTCTCTGTATTAATAATAAAATTGTTACCTGACCGCCAATATAATCTTTTGCTATTACTAATATGTGTAGTTGTATGGCTGATTATGTCATGTGTCTAAAGCCCGCTTTACCTATCGACGTTTAGTCAACCGGATAGTATTGCCAGCCTTCATCCTATTGGTGTGGCTGTTTGTGAAGTGCACTAATATGCACTTGCTTGTCTTGTAACATTTGAACTTGCGATGTGTAATGTGTTATCACGATTCGTGAAACGTAAGATGTTATTCAAGTGTCAAATGTGAAGCATACACTAGTTTCACTGACTTAACTTCTAGACGAGAAATACGAGCTGAGCTGTTGACTAAAGTATGCCATGTGAGTACGAACTTTTTATGACCACTAATTTGAAGTCTAGATTTTCTCAATTTCCTTTGTGAACACTTCACATAGGGCTCAAATGATTTGGAATAAGAATGGTCAGGAGATAGAGCGATGACCAAAATTAATTTTTTGTAAGTACACGTTTGCAATTAAAAGTGTTCTCTGAGCTGGTTGGTTTAGTCGCGAAGCTTTCGTCGTCCTTCCGGACAACATCTTCAGCGCCATATTTAGCACAGAGTGAAATGATTTAAATTTCTTCATGCGTGATGTAATTGCGTCTCCTGGTTACTATCTTTACATATGTATTGACCACTTTCTATTGACTAAGATTTTAAACTTTTTGGTCACCTGATTTACTTTTTATTAATTGGTATATTTCATCTATATTAACGTGTTTGTTAATCGCATTTTCGCTTGAGTACCAGGCTTCTAGGAATTCTCTGGCACTTTTCGTGTTTCCTCTGTTTAAGTTACATATGTGTTTAAGTTACATATCTTATGTGAGCTGTAGTGATAATACCTAATTGCTAAGACTGAATTAGTTAGTGTGGAAACCCATTCTGGGCCCTATTGGCTGCAAGCTGAGTGCTAAAGTTAGTGAGTCACATCTCAGCTGTTCAGATATCATTTATCTCTGTATAAATGGTAAAATTTTTACGTGACTTCCAATGTAATCTTTTGCTATTACTGATATGTGTAGTTGTATGGCTGATTATGTCATGCGTCTAAAGCCCGCTCTACCTGTCGAGGTTTAGTCAACCGGATAGTATTGTCAGCCTTCATCCTATTGGTGTGGCTATTTGTTCAGTGCACTAATATACATGTGGTTTTTGAATAAGACACCAGTATACACTTGCTTGTCTTGTAACATCTGAACTTGCGATACGTGATTCGTTATCACGATTTATGAAGAGGAAGTGAAGAGCCATTAAGTAGAGGAGTTGCATTAGTAGAAGGAAGGTAAGATAATAGAGATGAAGACAAAGGTGAGTGAGGAATAGAGAGGTTTCGTGTGCTCTTCGGGTTGTGAGGGCGATTGTTACTTCCCGGCTGCCCACACCGTGGAAGTTGGTTGTGTGACCGCAGAGCCCAGGGGACAACTGCTTGAGGCCGGTCACACACGGCCTGTTTTTGTTTGTTGTTTTTTATTTGGTGTGTCTCAGTAGCGTATTTATCACTTCTGCCCTGTGACACGGCAGCAGAAAGCGCGGTCGTTGTTAATCCGGGCCCCGACCGATCCGGCATGAAATTTTGTGATTTATTTGAAGTCATAGGATTGGGTTGGGTAACTGCTTTTAGTCTAACCGCTATCCGAACAACCTTCCTGGCATGGTAGGACCTGCAGGAACATAAGTTCCAGCCAGTATAGCTTGTTGGATCATTGCGGTGTTCAAGCCCGACCACCACGTCAAGGTAGCAGCTTTCGGCCGGGTTGATTTATGAAACTTAGGATGATATTCCAGTGTCAAAAGTGAAGCATATACAAGTCTCACTGACTTAACTTCTAGATGAGAAATACGAGCTGAGCCGTTGATTAAGGTATGCCATATGAGTACGAAGTTTTTTATGACAACTAATTTAAAGTTTAGATTTTCTCAATTTCCTTTATGAACACTTCACATAGGGTTTAAACGATTTGGAATAAGAATGGTTAGGATATAGAGTGATGACCACATTTAATTTTGTTGTGAGTACACATTGTTCTTTCTGTTTCATGTGTTAAGATTCCTTTTACTCTAGCTCGCGATCATCTAAAGAATTTTATACGTTGTTGTAAGTCCGTGATCGGAATCAATAGACTATGCGGTGGATGTTGATTAGTGCGACTCAGTAAAAAGTGTAACACACAACTTTTTGTTTTATTTTATTGTTTCTTCTGTTATGCTTCACCCGTACCTTGTTAATTAATAACGTAGTGCTTTTTATTTCCTAAAGACTTCAGTAATTATATTTATAGCTCGACCAAGTAATTGAAAATGTTTTTCCGAAATATATTCATTTCAGATTGAGTTTTAAAAATGTCATCGAAACCGATTTGTGACCGTGTTAACACATATGCTAACAGAACTATTGGTATACCGGGATATGAAGGAATACCGCACAATTTACTGATCAATGTTGTTGGTTGGGTGGTATGTCGCGATTAAAATCCAATATGCGCATAGGTTTTAATGTTTGGATTTTCATTGCTAAGGAAACTTGCATGGGACTATGGACGTATGGCTATGGTTCAACCGAAGAAAAATAGGTACGTCCAAAGTGTATGGTTTCATTATTTTCTTTATCATTAAGCATAATTTACCTAAACAAAACTCTTAGTAATTAGTAGTGCACGCAGTTATTAAAAGGCGAGAATTCAGGATAAAAGTTGTTTTGAAATTACACTGTAGTAGTGGTGGTGTTTCTAGTGTCTCGCTGAATGAATTTAACAGTAAACACTATCCTGACTGTTTTCTGCATTCGCTTTTTTTTTCCTTCACGTTCCCCAGTGGAACATAGGGCTTCAAGCTAGAAGCTTGAAGTTTCTGTAGCAGTGTTTATTTTTACAGGATGGGGTTGCTAGCCTCATGTCCAATCTTTTCTCCTCATCAGCTTTATTACTGGCATAGCGAGGTAAAGGAGTGCGCTGGCCGGGGATCGAACCACGGACCATGTGCATGGTCGTCGAGCGTCCTAACCGCTATGCCACCGACGCACTGCATTCGCTTATTTCACATAAAACCAAATGACTAACACCATATGACTATCATATTTATCTTGCTAGGAAGCTGAAGACCTTTCTTCTTATTTACCTGAGATGTTATGGATAATTAGATTTCTGTAACTGCTATGAAGGCAGATTAAAGTTAAAAACAAGAATTCATGTGTTCACCTTTATGTACTTGAGGATAAATCACAATTTGTGTAGCAGGGTATATGGAAGTAGTACATGTTTGTCTGTAACAACGATATATTCTGTTAAAGTGAGGACACTAACATTATTCAGAGTCCTCTCAAATGTATGGTAATGCTACAGGACTGCTGTGCACCTGCACCTAGCTTAAGGATAGAGGGCAAGATGTTTAGGTGAATTGATCACTTCGTTTATTTTGTAAGTCTTTTTGATCCCGATTAACTGATTGCTGACGGTAGCAAAGGTTAATTTGCAACAAACCCAGTGAACTTCTTACTGAAAAAAGGTGAATACAGACATAAAAAGCCTGTTTAGCATTCGCCAAATTGCGTCATTTTTGGCGTAGATGTAATTTATGGCTACCCATTGAATTGCGTGTTTACGGTAGTTCTCTGTGTCCTGAATGGCGGTCCTCGAGATGCTAAGAATGAATGATTATAGACTATAAGTGACATGGGCGAAGATCGTTTGTATTGACGCGGACGTATGCAGTCCTTGTCATTATCCTGATTCTGATGAGCAACACTAATCTTTTTTTCTTTGTTCCCTCTAATGCACTTCCTCATCCACTTTAGGTTTCTTATTTTCTACTTTTATGTTTACTTTCCACAAGGGTGACAATTTAAATTAATGTACTTGCCTGTGACGTTATAGGTTGTCAAGTCAGTCTTTTTTTTTGAAGCGACGTTCTAGAGTTAGTTGGTGGCTCATTGTATAAATTAGCATATAAGTATTTTGTCGTCTTGGTGAGGCTTCGAGCTGAGCACGTTTGCTTCCATAAACAACCTGGCACGCCCGAGGGTGGGTAAACTCCGGTCTTCCTCCACTGGATGCTCTATTGTGGCCACACGTTAGTGGCCTCTACCAGATAAGTTCTATTCACTGCCTTCGCACGGCGCCGGGGGGCGGGAGAGGAGTTGCTGACATAAGTCAGAAGGCAAATTTGAATATCTGGCACGGGCTGGTGAACGTGCTTGTTTAACATTTAAACCGATTCAATTCAGATGACATCGAACCACAAAATAACAAGTATTCATTTTTACATGTATTACTATGGAATAAAAGTAGATGTGTGTATACACAAAATATGTTAACACATTAACGTCAAATTCTTGTGAAATGTGTATATTTAAGTGAGTTTTTTAGTAGTAATGGAATCATGTGGTCCTTAGAGGTATTTCTGAGTAGTCTCTGTAACCAGGAATTTCCCTTGTTAGCTTATCTTAACAGATGTTAAATCAAGGAATCCGGTTAGCAGTCGAATTTTTTTATATACTTTTCTGTGTGTATTTATTATTTCGACTGTTGTTACTTATAATCGAATTAAAAATATCAATAATAATGATAATAATAAAAAAATTATTATTGACAATTGAAATGTTTACATTTGCAGATGGACCACACTGTTCTACGCAGATGTACAGAGACGTGTTAGTGAAACTGGTTCAGTTGAAAGTTTAGAACAAAATATACCCATGAATGATCCTGTAAGTATTTTTCTATAGTTTGGTTTGTAAGGATTAGTTATGTTTTACGAGTTGATCACGGACTGATATCAGTTAGAGAACCATTGAAAACCAGCATTGGAGTACTGGACAGCTACTGTTTCATCCTAGTTTGGGAATCATCGGCAGTACGCACCCACTGGGATTGGAACCCAGGACCTTCCGGTTACAAGGCAAGCTGGCTCGTATACCATTCAGCCACTGGGACCCGATTCAATGGCTCATTAATTCTAACTTCTACCAATTCGTGATTTAGCGCGACCCCAACCATTGTCGTTGGTGAGACATCCATCCACATACGTGACTTCTAATTGAACCTCACTGGTCACGACTTCTCACTAGAACTCCAGGAAACTCCATCCTGTAGCAAGTCACTAGCGAGCATCAGATTAATTTTCTATAGTTTGGTTTGTAAGGATTAGTTATGTTTTACGAGTTGATCACGGACTGATATCAGTTAGAGAGCCATTGAATCGGGTCCCAGTGGCTGAATGGTATACGAGCTTGCCTTGTAACCGGAAGGTCCTGGGTTCGAATCCCAGTGGGTGCGTACTACCGATGATTCCCAAACTAGGATGAAACATCAGCTGTCCAGTACTCCAATGCTGGTTTTCAATGGTTCTCTAACTGATATCAATCCGTGATCAACTCGTAAGTATTTTTGTTTGCATTTTGTAATTCTACAACATTACCTTGTTCCGTCTTGATTCTCGTCTCATAGAAAAAAAAGTGTGTGTGCACATACACAGCGCTAATATTCATTTCTATCTGTTTTAGGGCTATTTCTCATGGATAATCAGCTATTTTAAACTGACGTAAGTTGTTTTCTCTGTTGTTTTTTTTTATATAGATAACTTTGTACTCATTTGTTGTTTATCATGCTCAATGTGTGAAACACGTGTTGACTTTCTCTTTCACAATAATAAATGCTAATATTTACAGTTACTTTTTATGACTATGCCTTTGTATTTTGTGGATTTAATTTAATCCTTTTTTGTGATAAGATAGATAGATAGATTTGACAAAAGTAATACATAATCAATCTATCCGTTGATCAATTTATCGATCGTTCGTGCAGGACGTGTAGACAGAGAAAGAGAGAGAGATGTTAGTTGCCTGAATAAAGTTCTTAAATGTCATGACTCATTGTCGGCTCCACTGGTTATGGATGATGCTTTTCACGCCTTACTCTAACAAACAACATGCTAATTTCAGCAGCATGTTTCTTTATTTAATACTTGCTCATCATTTTGTCGTGTGACGCTGTAAGGACTTTAAGTTGCATTGTTTTCATTCCATTGTCTTTGTTTGTATTACTGTACACATGATGTAGTGACGTAAGGTGTCTTGCTTTTGACTGACAAATCGTATGTTGATAATATCTGCTTATGTTATGTATATATATATATATATATGTATATATAGTGTAAAAGTCTCAAATAATGCTTTTTCAAATTAACGTATACGTATTGTCATGATGAATAACGAAACATTTGTCCTAGAATAAATTTGCACCAAGAAAACATTTTGAAGTGTTGCTTTCATTATTCATTCGCTTCATTTAACTAATCTGTCACTATAAAACACAAAATAATGGAGAGCAAAGAATATTCTTTTCGATAAATTCCTCTTCCAGGCTCTACAATTATATATATGCATATTTATATACACAGAATATTTTAAATTAGTAGTTAATAACAATATCAGCGCTTTTTAAATAATATCGATTTGTAAAGTAAGATAACAATGGAATTACCACAGTTCATTAAAGATGCTTAAATTATAATAATAATAATAAAGATATAATAGCGAATAGAATATCAACTGAAATTAGGGAAATTCCACAAAAATTCCGGATTATTCAAACCTGGATGGCCAAGGTAATGATAATGACTGAACTAACTTCTTTTGGGTGCTAAATTAGGCTTATTAATGTGGATCCCCACAGCCTCAGTAATATTTAGAAGTCGAACTCTTAAAGCGAATTTGAGATTCGTAGGTATGCAGTAAATGACCCTGAAAGCATGGTTAACGTCAATCTTGTGTTCTGTTTCCACACGATGAGACAGAATAGCGCTGCGAATAGATTTTGTTTGACCTTTGCTTAACCAACCACGCAGGGTGATGTTCGGAAATTCGACGAGAAACATGCCTAATTGTACAGCCTATGTAACTGGCTAACTCCACAGGAGCAGTTAAATTGGTATATACACATGGAAGAGACGAAATTAGGCAGTTTGTCTTTTATTCTCGAACGCAGAAGAGGATTGGTTTTAAAGATACAGCGTAATTCAGCAGCAGGGAATGCTCTTTCAACCGCATTTCTAAGTCGCTGTGTTAGTATCTCACTGGTGTTGTCTCCTAGGAACTGTCACTGTTACACTGTTAAATTCTTGTGTTTTCGGTGTATTTAAAATGTAATTCATCTGTAACTCATAACCCATGTGAACAAACTTTATATAATAATAATAATAATAATAAAACCATTACTATTATCCTCATAAATGTTAAGCATATCTCTTATGATTCTAGCATTTCACCAATACAAACTTAGCTGGGATTCTGAAGTGTCTTGTGTGTGGAGAAGTTTTCCGCAAGCTTATTGATTATTTCTCTGTCATTTACAGCAAACACATACTAGATAGTTCATCTTGACTTGCACTCTTTCACTCCACTTTCCAAGTTTCCTCCGAGCATGGCTAACTAATTTTTAAATCAAAGTGTTTATGTATTTTAGGAAACATTTTTACTTCAAAGGCATTAAGTTTAAATTTAGTGACACGTGGGGAGTCAGTCAGTGTATGATAGATGTTATGTGCTGCGGGTTGGCCACCCCTCCGCACACCTCTTGAAATGCTCCCATATGACCGGGCGTCTTACATAGCCTCTCCTGAGGAAGTCCTACTCACTGCCTTCACGTGGCGGAGGTGTTTTTCACCACAGTGAGAGGGCAAAAGTGGATGCCCGGCGCTCTTCACCAGGTTGACTGTCCATTGGATGACAGTCTAGGGGAGATGGCTAAACCCTGATTCCAAACCTCCAACGACTGGCATATGAAGCTCACTGGAGCTCACCGGCACACGTATGGACAAAGGGCTTGTTGGATGTCCTGGATGTCTGGCCCCATTCAAAAAGGCGTATGAACCGAACTCCGGTCACCGGCTGCCAATGGATAGTGGACTCCCTACTCCACTCCTACTGCCTTGTAGGTCACACTTGGTTGTGTAGAGGTTAGAGCTGCACTCTCAGACCAAAGGCCGAGCGATTCTGGGGACATCACTCGTACCAAATTCCCATGAAACTTCATGAACTCTCTTACAAACGACTCTCACTGTAGACCATTGGTGCCTCAGGTACATTCTGCATGTTCGTTGGCAGGACAAACTCTTCAACGAAGAAGTGCGTCGTCGTTGCTACAACATCAACCAAATTCCAGTACTGGTTCAACAACGTCGCCTTCGGTGGTTTGGCCATGTTCTGCGCCGACCAGATGACGATCTGGTCAAATCAGTTCTAAATCCCTCGCCATTACCATCTTGGCGGTGTCGCAGGGGTGGACAGCTGAAAACATGGCTTTGTACAGTCAAGGCTGATATGGAGTGCCTGGGGCTACAAACCGTCTACGGACTCCGTCTGTGGAACAAGAATTGGATAACCCTGTCGCAAAACCTTGCATCAGATCGCCGCGCCTGGGCAGCGATGATTCGAGATATTCATGAAGCCGGCTCATCCTCCCGTAGGAGATAGCCGAAGTAAAGTAAGTAAGTAATTTAGCAATCATCAGTGCGATATTAACACAACGCCTGAGAAATGCGGTAAAAAGAGCATTCGGTGCTTCTGAATTATACTGTGTCTTCAAAACCACCTCTATTTTGTGTTCGGGAGTGAAAGCTAAACTGCCTAATTTCGCCTCTCCTATGTGTATCTACCAATTTGACTGCGCCTGTGGAGCCGTATAATTAGGCGTGTTTATCATCGAATTTCCAAACATCATACTGCATGGTTAAGTGAGGGACAAACAAAATCCATTGATAGCCCTGTTCTATCTCATCTTGTGGATACAGAACACAAGATTGATGTTAACTAGGCTTTCAATGTCATCTACCGCATACCAACTAATGTTAGCTTTACCTTAAGAGTTCGTCTACTACATACTGCTGGGGCTGCTGGGGGATCTATATTAAGAAACCTAACTTATGTATCCAAAAGAAGAAACTGGTTCAGACACTGTTCTTACCTTGGCATCCTGGGTTCTAATGATCCTCAGTATTTTGTAGAAATTTCCTTAATTTATTTTGATATTCTATTTGCTGTTACGTATGCTTATTATAACTTAAGCGTCTTTCGTGAACTGTAATTCCATTGATCTTACTTAACAAATCGATAGTATTTAAGAACACCAAAATTGTTAATGACGAATATCCTAGAATATTCTATGTATACAAACATATATATATATATATATATATATACATAAAAAATTGTAGAGCCAGAAGAAGAAATTGTCGAAAAGGATATTTTCAAGTATTAGTTTTGTAGGGATTTTGTATGATTGGCTGGTTTATTTCATCATGAGCTGACATCAGTTAGCGAACCGTTGGAAAACTACCAGCTGGGAGTACTGGACATCTGTTTCGCTCCAGTTTGGAACTCCTCAGAAGTACGCACCCATGGGGGTTCGAAGTCACGACCTTCTGGTTACAAGGCGAGCTGGCTCGTAGACCATTAAGCCATTGAGACTCGATCCAGTGGCTCATGGAAACGTGAATGATACTCTCTCAGGTGATGTACAGATGAATTATTAGATGACTTGGAATTAGAATCAATGAATGTCTTGCATCTGAGTCAGTCAGTTGGTACAGCTGATAAGGTAATTACCAGAGTCAAGAGATTAGAATAAATATGTGCATGGTTGGTGCACACTTTTAAACAATCTTTTATGTCCAGTTAACAAACTGTGTCATGTATTATTATTATTGTTTCCTTCAATTCCTAGAGGAACATAGGGCTTCAGCTGTTCGTCTCCATTGCGTTCAGTTCTCTGCTAGAGTCTTCACCTGGCTCCAAGTCTGTCCAAACCCTTTCATCTCCTCTTCACATGACCTCCTCCAAGTCACCCTTGCACTGACGATTAACTCGCCGCTTCCCATTCAGTCGGGTTCCACTCGAGCAATGGCTTGTCTAGTGATGTCACTTGATAGTTTGTTTCCTCAGAGTATGGCCAGCCAATCCATCTCCATTTCTTCCTGCGTATTTTTTTCACAATCGGTTCCTGCTGAGTTGGTTCGCTCATAGCCAGAGATCTCTGTTGCTGATGTTTTCTGGCTGGCTATCTGATCTTGAGCTAAGTATTGAGCGAAGACAACTGTTAATGAAGGTCTGTAGCTTGTTTGAAATGCTCTTTATGACACGCAGTGCAAGTCTCTGATCCATCCGTATAGTGAGTAGCACTGACTGACTTCACATTGGAGTTCAAAATCCGGATGTTATCTTCGTTTTGATGCTGAGTGCTGTTGACCTCCACACATACTTGAGAGAAATGAAAGCTTGTCTTGCCTTTCCGATCCTCGCTTTGATATCCTCGTCAGTTCCGTCAGCCTGTAGTTGAAACGATGCTTCCCAGGTAGGTGAGTGAAGTAGGTTGTTTCTTTCAGGTTCCTCCCATTTATGCTGATCGTTGTCCGTTGTTGTTGTTCTTGCCCAGGAATCTTCATCACCTCTGTTTTCTCTATGTTCACCTGAAGTCCTATCCAAATAATTATATTTCATTATAGTTTGAGATTATGTCATGCGTATTAACTTTATTTCATTTTTC